ATATATATATATATATATATATATATATATATATATGTTCCAGTCCACGGGGAACCAATCCTTCCTGCCTGTAAGCTACAGTAATCTCACTGGTCTCTCTCGTGTCATCAATGTGACCATTATTACCTGGTTGCCAATGGCACCTTTCCAGAATCACCACAATAGGCCACGTTTTCTTAGCAGATTAAGAGAGAAAATAATTAGCTTTGTTCTTATTTGAATGACACTAGGAAATATTGAGTGTTTCCGTCGGTCGTGAAGCTATCCTGTAGAAGCCACAGGTGTGTGGGACTGGACACTTGCTAATCCCGGTTTGTGCTCTGGTAGCCTGGTTTCGCTGCTGGTCCGCAAGGACCTATCTGTCACCAGCTTCAACTATTTGGTCACTGCCCTGTAAGCCGCTTCGAAAGTAAGTTACACCTTTGGATAGCTCAATCCTGGGTGATTGGGCTAAAGATCAGTTTTGCACGTCATAAAGGGGTGCCTTTTATGGGTCATTCTCAGGGTGCCAAAAAAGGGCCGAACAAATAAATACACTGTGGGGCAATGAGATTACAGGAAAAAGATGAATGGTATGTTTATACACTTGTTTCGGCAATCCAGAGTGAGCAAACCTGGCCTCCAGCAACACCAAATCTACGCATATTTTGGTGGTTTCGGATTTAGGAGGATAACGACAAACGAAACCCATTCCATTCGATTGTTTTTCGCCCTCGTGGCAGAAAAATGGAATGGAAAATCGTACTGCAGAAACTCGTTGGCGACTTTTACGCAAGGTCTCAAGGAGACCTGTGAGTACGCTAGTCAGAATGTTTTCCGCCGTCTCATATCATTTGGCGTTCTTTTGCAGCAATGGACACCATCCTTAATGATGCCGGCCGGTTCAGAAAGGCGCACATAAACTTCGGTTATGTGTGCTTGACGCGGCTCCGGCTTGCAAAGACCTGGAGTTGTTTCCGTTTAGGTTTTCTTATTCCCTGTCGCAATTTCTGTTAACGGGATCTATAATGTTGCAGACTAGCTATGAGGAACATACGTTCATTTTACAACAAGTTAGTATCACTTAATCTCCTCGAATTTTTTCAGACCTTTGAGTTTCCAACTAAAAACATGCGCAAGAATTTCCGTGACCAGTTGTGATAGTGAAGTATAAGTGTACATTAACTTTGCACTACTGTAAGTGATAAAGATGAAGATGTATGACCTGGATTGATATTCTGAGTTATATGTGAACAAATATCACGAGTATGGGGCTATGAATTTTGTGTATGCCTCCATGTGTGAGCGGTTACATAAAATAGGGTAATACAAGCAGGTCAGTTACAGCCAACATATGTCGGTGTATGTTAGATGCAAACACTGAGGAGTAGATGTTCCGCGACACAACCCCAAGTACATCCTCATTGACGTCATAAAACTTCGAAGAAGGGCAAAGTTTCCCAACCAAAATGAACTGACGACACTGATAACTTGCTAAACAAAAGCAGTGACTACTCTTACAAACGAGGGCCTTACTGAAGTCCCAAGGAATTTTATCGATGAACATGCAATCTTTTGCCGTGCATGTCGGCCGTTTTGGGAGCATTCAGATAGGAAAATCGGGAAGTTTTTTTCACAATTCCATATTGTGATCCAGATAAAACTTATTACATCCGGAAGTACTTAGTTATTTAAGTTCGTTTCTTGATAAGCTCATTTTTTGCAACGATGCCCTGGAATGGTTGAGGGCGTCGGGCTTGTCTTTTCATGTGTAAACTGGCAGGTTTTCAATTCCATGGGTCCAACCTTCCGATGAGGTATTTGGCAAATAACATGGCAAATAAAGAAGTCAAGACAAAAGCATGTCTGCGGGGTATAAAAAATCATTGGGTATTCAACGGACCAAGAGTCAGTGTATCATGTCTAAATAAACATTTGAATTTTTTTATATTACACGCTTTAGCAGCCCAGACCGGTTTGACTGTCACAGCACTTTCTCATATTTTCTGATTCGGCCATCTTTTCTAAAGCCATACATGTCACAATACTTTAGAAGGCACAAATGTTTGCTCAGTAGCTGATTTCATCCATAACTCCGACAAGTATGTAATGAATTAGTAGTGCAAAACAATCCACCCTTGAAGTTGTCAAGTAAATTAGCTGGATTAAATTTTGTTAAAACTACATCAAGAAAAAGTGATTATGCAGATACCTCTATGCAAACGATGGGACAAACATCTTTTTAGTCAAAATTGCGGAAGTCTGAACAAAAAGACTTCAAATATTTGCATAAAACAGCTCTAATATTGGGAGAAATTAAACGTTCCGAATGGCTTACTTTAAGCCTCACTTGTTTATTAGGCTATTAATTGAGAGAAATAAGATTTTTATAGGGCATTTTCCGTAGCGCAGCAACGTTTCCTCTGTCATTTGCCTGTAAGATGCTAAAAAAATGTATAAGAATGGTGAGTACGCAGACCTGTTGTCGGATATGTATATAGCACAGAGAAGTTTACAAAAAGTTACGGAGGCCGAAATCCGGCCGGTTAAAATTTACCATATTATATTGATACTGAGTATATGATGTGGAGAGAGAACACCAGCTATTCAGCAAAGGTGTCGGTGCTCAAATGTTTGGAGCATAGGCAGAGGAGAGGCTACCACGGAGTAAGACGCTCTGTTAGTTACCTCCAAAAAACCACCCGCCAGAGTCTATGGGATTCGTCTTTAATACCGAAAATGACGAACGTTTACAGATATTTCTCGGATTGTATCGAGGATTACGGTGACAGCTATGCTGTCTACATTCGATGAAATAAGAAAACAACTCAACGGTTACAGTTTCTTTAGTCGGGAGTCTCAAAAGGGCAAGGAAGCTTAAATTCTTGGGGAAAGACTGCACAAAAATGAGCTTAAGCAATTGCAAACCGAAGAAAATCTATCTGCGGCTAACTGTTTAAGCCGTAGATTGTCATACAACAAACGATGTAGTTTGCATATTTTGAGTTCATTTATCTTTCTTCGGGTGCCAATGTGATTTTTAGTTCTATCACCTTTTGGAGTTTGATCTTCTTGGCTTAAGCGACCATAATACTGAAATAAACAGCGGCAAAAAGCCCTGAAGACCTCTTTATTGTTTAAGAAATCTTCTGGCAGTACCCATAAGGTCTAACTAAAAAAAACAGGCTTCGCTCTATTTACATAATCAGAAATATTTTTAAATTAAGATAAACGGAGATTTTGGGACGGTTATATATATGATACTGCTCAGGTACAGATTTATTTGATGCGCTCAGCACGCAGTTTTTCTTGATGCCGTTTAAGTTCCGTCTTGCAATCGGGAGTTATAATTCAGTGGAACCATACCACGAGAAACGTCGAACTTATAACTCCTTGGTTTGAACAGTCGCTTGTGGTAATTTTGTGAATAACTCTGCGACGAATTATTCGCTCCATGTTTCTGGATCTCGTTAGTGCTTCCAACTAAGTTTGACCTGATTTAGCCAATTCAGAGCACCGAGACTCTGTGTTGCCTTTGAATACTGTCGGTGGATATCCATTTAACCCGGCAGTCTTTTGGCGAAGTTTTGGCAAACCAAATGGCTTAAGGGCAAAAAATTAGCAACAACTATCTCTTTTGCTGAGTGACCTAAACATTAATGCACGTGATGGATTAAAATTTTAATATTTTTTAAATTAATAACCCAAGGACTCCGATTACTCATTCATTCCCTAGATAAACGGGAACAGCTTCTGTGTACATCGGGTCCCACTGGTCTTTTATGATTTCCCCACGCCTCTTTGTCCGTGCAAGCGCGGTAACTAGGCTGCGACTCCACAGAATCTCTACTTAGTTTGTGTCTTGTATTATATTAGACAAAAAGAATGACTGTTGAAAAATGTAGTCACTCATACGTAGGCGCTTGGAAACACCACAATCAGGGCTCTGGCACTGTGGGTGGCTGTTAGTATTTCTTTCATCCAAAGAGCCATCCGCGAGCCATTTAAAAGTAAGTTTCTCTGAAGTGAGGTTTACAAAACTTTATTACTTTAAAACGTTTGGCTCGTTCCTCAGGTTTATAAGGGTGATATCCCTCTCCAGACGAAATCCTAGTCCAAATCAATGTGTTTGTTCTAGAGTGGCCGACGGTAGAGAATTAAACTTCACCATCGGTTGTTAATGGCGACTTGAGGATTAGCATCTTGATTTTGATTAGTATAAGGTGGTGGCTAGGTAACTCGACAGCACCTGATGGGTAATAACTCACTATTAATTTAAAACATTAGCATCTAGCATAAAAATCAAGAAATACAGCTAACATTTTCATAAATTTTGGCGTTCATAGGGCTTTTTCGATATATATTCTAACGTTACGATATATTAAACAAGCAAACATCTTTCTTTGCGAGCTGATATGGCAAGGCGAGCTTGGTATTCGTATTGACTTCCCGTCCAATAGATTCTAGTGAGGGACAGCCTGAGGTTGATTTATTCGGGCATCATTGTGGCTCAGCAGAAATCTGTGCTCTGTCGAGGACCAATAATCTTTTGGATCCAATTGATATACAGTTACGCCGCTACGCGCTCTGACAAAATGGTCAGCAGTCACGATCCACCGAAGGCTTAATATGACAGGAGTTGCAACACCACGAATAAAACATGGGAAGTTTGTCGTTATCAGGTCTGTCAAAACATCAATCATGCTTTCCGAATTATATGGGAGT